TATTGCATTAATAGCACAGGGGCTTTTTCGTGCCGTGGCGCAGTGATACACAATTCAGTTGTTATGAGGAGGTCATATCATAGATTTCACAACGGCTTTGAACACGGCTCAGCCAATCAGATTTTAGGACCGGAACTAATCATTTTAGAAACATAACTAAACTCCAGTTTGGGGCTATAAGTGACCTGCTAACACCGGAACCTCTGTTTTGCATCACTTACGAGCTTTTACATGTACACGTACATTGTACAGGCCAAAAGGATGCAAGCAAGCAGCCTGTGAGCCAACAACCGACATGTTTACTGACTTGTTAAGAGAGCAATTCCACCCATTTTTCTATATTTTCAGAAAAATGTCATTCAGAGTGGTATTGATACTGATATGAAATGGTTGATTGTAGAGAACCTTGCAGACTCAGACAGGTGTCTTCTGAGTTTTTATGTGTAATGCTGATTACGCTAAAACAGTGGAAAATCTGAGTTTTCTTTGGGGACAATGTTACCTCACATCACCCTGCTTTAGCACCCTGTTTTAGGCCAAAAGCTTCTCACAACTAACCAAAACAGTGTCTCCCACATCAGACAGCGAATTTCTAATTGTTCCTAATTGAATTCCTTCCTGTAAACATTCCTGTAATCACTTTCTGTGAGCTTTTGGAAACTCTTTAGATGTCTGGTTCCCATCACCACTACCACCCATTCTGAATGATGTTGTTTACATCTTAACCAATATCAGAGACATCAGCGGAGGAGCTTTTAGAGGCATTAAACTCTTCAGATGTCTGGTTCCTATCACCACCACTGTGAGCAACGGAACATTTCACATCAAACCATTCCGAATGACTTTGTTTACATCTCCACCATTTAATTACGCAGAACGTTTTTAAAAATCGTTTCTGAACATTCAGTTCCACTGCGTGTTGATACGTCTCTCATACTGAGCAGCTTTTATTTCCATTCTCCTAATGTAACACCTAGTTGAGTTGAAACTTCAGGAGCTTCTGAGTGGAGGAATCAGGTGGATCTGATTAGAGCTGCTATAAACCTCTGCAGGAGATTCAGCCGAAGCTCATCTCATTAACAATCACACAATTGTCGCAACAAATCTTGCCGTTCTGTGTTAAACGAGTGGTAAAAATTCTACCCCAAATGGTCAATGAGCCAAGACACCAAATGGTCAATGAACCAAAATTTGGTGTCCAAATGTTGCTTCTTTAGTTTAGTAGCTAATGTAGCTAACAAGCACTAGAAGTCAGTAGTCACCCAAATCTGCAAAACCCACAATTTCTCTCAAGGCTTTTGTTCATTTTTATTGCTCACAGTAAGTCATACTGCATCCCAAACCACAAAGACAAGCCTGCACCACCTCACTGAGGAGCTGAATGAGGTTGAGAGTTTTAGGGACGTGTTTACAGAAAAGATTTGGGTGACTACTGACTTCTACACACTTAAAAAAGATGGTTCTTTTGCAAAGAAAATGGTTCTATACAGAACAATGAACACTCAAAGAACCCTTTGTATGATTAAAGGTTTTTGCATCGTGACAGTTCTTCAGATTGATGTAGAGAAAAAGGTTCTATATAGCACCAAAAAAGGTTCTTCTATTGTTACAAGCTCAACATCGTAACAGAAAAAGCCTCTCCTGCTATACAGAACTTGTTTCAAAAAGGTTCCACCTACATTACATTCTACATAACTCTGAAGAATGCTTTCACAACTTAGTCATGCAAAGGGTTCTTTGAGTGTTCATGGTTTGATACAGAACCATTTCCTTTACTAAAGAACCTTTTTTAAGTGTTTCTTTGCTACATCAGCCAAACCATTCCTTTAAAGCAGCACTATATAAGTTTTGTTTGTTAAAACTGAAAGAAGCAGCGTTACTGGGACGTTAAAATATAGTGAGTGTCGTGCTGCAGCGATTCGGCCTGTAAAGCCTGAGGGTGTCAGGTCAGGAGTTTTTAAAACCACGTCATATGTCTTTATGCACAGGTTTAAAAAGAAGGTCTGGTTCAATGTTTAGGTCTCAAATGCAAAATGACCACTATACCGATGGAGATACGATGACAACAGTAGATAATTCACATCCTTGGATGACACATCCTTCACCAAGTTTTGACTAAGTTCTCTTTGAATACTCTTTCAACACGTTCGCAATCATCAGATTCATCCCCTTGTTGGGGGCCAAAAGCACAAATCATGACACAAAATGTTTGAAGATATAAAGATGTTGTGTGCAATTACACATTTCCACCAGAGAGGTCTCCAAATTCCCAAATTTTACATAGTGCTGCTTTAATACATTTTATTTTCATTTAGTTTTGTTTAGTTTAAGTTAGTGTTGCATTCAAGACTTTTGCGTTGTAATGCACCTCTGACCAATTCATCCTGGCATATTCCAGTCACTGTAAGTGGGAAACTGCTGAGCGCTATCGAATTGGGTAAAACCAATCACAATCAGGAGAATATCAACCCAAACAACCCGCCTCATTATGCACTGAAGAGCCGGCTCCTTGAAGAACACTCTCTCTCTCGAGTGACTGGAAAAGGGTTGAAAGGGAAATGAATGAAAACACAGTCCTGCACATTTCTTCTCCGAGCTCCAATCTTTCAGCGTCTTTGTTTTACAGATTAATTACAACGGCCATCGACCGGAACAGTCGAAGAGAACAGAACAGAAAAAAAAACCTGGATACATCCTCTCTGGGTCGACTTAAGATGGCTTTCAGTTTTAAAACACTGTCCAAACTGTTTACCGGCTTTGAGTGAAACAATGCAGCATCCATTCGTGCTCAGAAAGTCTTTGTACATTCTTGTATAGAATCCAGCTCTATACACACACTTGCATGCCTATGCACACACTCTCTCACACACACACATACAGTAAGGCTGAAACATAAGCAAGCGCCACTGATTAGCCAGATAAGACTGTTGTTGTTTTGTGTTCCGGTTGGTGGAGATCGGCATTTTCTGTCTACATAGGTGTTAATAGTTAAACCCAGGTACACTGAAATTAGTTTCACAGGGCAAGATGTGATCTGGGGACAACCATGAGAAATTTTGGTGGGAACGTAGATTTATTAGGGAACAAACTAAATGTGCAATTTCTAAACCAATCTAACACCTCATGAAGTCAAAGCGCAAAGTAGAGGGCAATGTTGCGCTCATCAACAAGTAAAGCCTGTTGTTAGCCCATGGATGTAATGTAAGTTTGCATGGCTGAAAAGTCCTTCGAAAACATCAATTAAACATGGGGATGTGCCATAAAAATAAACACTGCCTCTAGCAAGAGAGAACCAGTTCTGTTAGCCAATGTTAGTCTTTGACTAGCTAGCTTGTTTTGGTTGTGTTTGACTGTTCAGACATTGAAAGAGCACTGATAATAGGGGGCAAGGGGGCGTCCACTTGTTAGCAGCCGTAATCCAGCACCAAAAGTGTGTCCCCAGACATGTATTCTCATTACGAGATCACATCTGTACCCATAAGACTACAGTGAAATATGCTCCTTTCACTGTTTCAGCTCAGGTCAAGCAAAGCTTACTTGGTCCGATCGGCCTTTCCTGTCCCTTGATCACCAAGACACCACCAAATACTATTGCGCTGGCTTCTGCCTGGTAAGCTGCCCTTGAAAAAAATCTCAATTTTACACTGTAACCCCTGTAGACCCTTAACAGGTCAAACTGTCAATATTCCATGACTGACCAGAGCAGTTTTAAACCTTGCATCATTGAAATAGGCATATCTGGACATCTGGTCATTTTACAAGGGCATACAGCATGAAACGCTTTTGAAGTTTTAGATCAAAGATACTGTTCTACATGTTGGATGATTTTGCTTCACCTTTTTGATCAGCTTTCCAAATAGTGTATGTATGAATGTGTATTCATCGTGAAGATTTAAGGACTCCTTTTTGGACATTTGCCAGAACTGAGGGTTTATATACCCCCAGTCTTTAACACAGCAGGGACTTTTTAACGCCAGCACTTAGATCAACTATTTAATCCTTATCGTGTTCAGGCAGCAACCTGCAGTTACATCTTTATGGCAGGCCTAGGAAAGGTGCCAGTAAAGGTTTGGTGGTGGTGGGCATGTATGGACAATCTAGAACAGGACACTGACAGTAAAGTTGGAGCAACAGAACCGTAAAAGGGAGTGAACTACTAGGGAAATTTCAGCATTGACTTGTGGCAGAAGGGTACCTTAATTGGAAATGTAAAGCACCTTTTCCTCAAACTGGGAAACTCCAGGAGACGCCATCTCGTGTTATAAGAAAGGACACTGACAATGAAAAAGGAATGATAAGACCTTACAAGTGGGTAATCCACTGGACTAAGATATTAGCACTAACACCCAGTTCAAGTGTACCTTAGTTGAAAATGTAGCGCAGGTTAGGAATTTCCAGGAGACTTGCATCATCTTGTGGACAGAATTGGGACAGAAATACCTTCCCTGAAAAAGTAAAGCAATTTCTAAAACAGAGAATCTCCAGGAGATGCTTCACTCTGCTTCATGTTGTAGAAGCGGACAATTTTGAAAAGGGAGCAATAAAACCTTATGAGTCAGTGATCCACTTGACTGAGATGTTAACCTTGGCACCCAATATAAAGGCAACATCCCAGAAACATCTTATCTTCAGATTGGGAAACTCCAGATACACCTCCTGTCCTCTCACACTGTAGGGGACGTCACTGACCCTGAAAAGGGAGTGATACATCTTACTTGAGATGTTAGCCCTGGCTACACTTGCATCTTCCTTGAAATGCAAAAGTACTTTGATTGAAAATGTAATGCATCATTTTCCTTAGATGCAGAATCTTCAGAAGATACTTCATACCATCTTATGTTATAGATGAGGATGCCGATACCGAAGAAGGAGTGATAGAACCTTATAAGCAGGTGATCCACTGGATTGACACGTTAGCACTGGCTCCTGGCGCAAGGGTACTTTTGTTAAAAATGGAAAGAGGTTTTTTTATTAGTTGCAGTATCTCAATGAGATGCCTGACAGCATCTCACACTGTAGGAGAGGACGCTAATATTGAAGAGGGAGCAGTAACACCTTACAAGCGAGTGATCCCCTGGATTGAGATGTTAGCATTGGCTTCTGGTGCAAGGGGACCTTCTTTGAAAATGCAAAGTATACTTTCCTCAGATTGGGAATTCCCAGGAGACACCTCCCACCATCTTGTACTCTAAGAGAAAACACTGATATTGAAGAGGGAGCGATAAACAAGCATGTGATCCACTGGACTGAGATGTTAGCACTGGCTCCCGATGCAAGGGTACCCTCACTTTTCCTCAGATTGACAATCTCGGTCTCACACTGTGGGAGAGATCAAAAAAGGAATGGTAAAACCTTAGAAGCAGGTGATCCACTGGACGGAGATGTTAGCGCCGGCTCCCAGCAAGGGTACCATAGTTGAAAACGTGGTGTCTTTTCCTCACATTGGGAATCTTCGGGAGGCGTCTCCTACCTTCCTTCATGCTTTGTACATGTTAGCAGCAGTAGCTAGGGCCAGTTGGCCATTGGCAGCCACGACACAAGGCTCTTCCTCCAGCAGGCCGTTGGGGTCAGCATGTGGGATGCTGTCGTGGTAGCTGCTGAAGCTGATGTTGTCTTCCTTCAGCTCGATGGTCCAGAAGGGTGCGTTGAGCTTCCGATTGCGATACTCGCGGTACGTGTAGACCCCACCCACTAAGCCCATGAGCAGTACCACCACTGCGATGATGACGGCCAGGACGATGATGTTGAACTGCGTCCAGGACACCACGGTGAGGGCCGAGGCTGTGCTGTTGTTGTTGGAGGCAGGGTCACCCGGGCCAGACTGCAGAGTCGGAGCACTCGAGGGGGCTGTGGAGGGGGAAGAGGAGGTGAAGAGAAGGAAAGGAGAAGTAGTAGAAGAGGAGGAGGGGGTGGTGGTACTGGTGGTGGTAGTAGATGACCTGGGAGCCAGGGTTGCCAGGAGCCTCACAGCTAGAAGAGAGAAAGAGAAAGAGAGACAGAGAGAGAGAGTTCTAGTTAATTGGGTTTAGAATAAATAGGAAAGCTACGAAATCGCTGATAACTCAGTTTTGAGATGACTCAAGAATTCTAAGAAAACAAACTTCCAAATGATATACAGTCCTACAGTTTCTGACCTTGAAGTTCAAGAGTTTCATAACAAAACTTCTGCTCTATCATCCTGACCCATATTACTTAAAGAATGAATGATGTCCCAGACAGGAAGACGACATCCTACATTATAAACGTGACGAACACTGGCTGAAAGCAGATAGGGACCCCACCCACTGCATAATACTTCAGTTTACTCTGAAACACAATGTAAGATCCTGAGACAATATGTGGGAAGACCCTGGATTGGTTACAATGAACAAAGACCCACAAAGGAAAACAGGGAGTCCTCTTCCCCAAGAGACTACTGGTTGCATTCATCACATTCCTAGAAAAAGTGGACTTGAATGTCCATGAGGGTGACGTACTCTACAGAAGTTCCCAAAACCTCAGACCTTAATTTCTCTGGTAATTGACTGAGTCATTCTACAGAAGTGGTTCAAGACACTGCCACTGCCCCTTTTTAAAAAATATTGTAAATAATAAGCAATTTCAATTGACTTTCAACACACACAAATAACCATTCTGGACTAAACCAACATGGGGCCGTATTTCGTAATATATAACTAGGAATTCCCTCCATCTTGACCACATGATGAGAAGATGCCTTCTAACATTCTGAAACAAAACAGGAAAGCAAGAAAATCCACGTTTCAAAAAGTGTCACTACTGAACTCTTTTTAACTCTTCCAAAATACAAGATTTCATTTTTTTTTAATAATGTGTTTTTCATTATTTATTTCATTTTTCATTCATTTGGAGATAAGCACGGTTGGATTGTCACAACCAAAACAAAGTTTGTCTGTTTGTTGGCATTGAAATTCGTTTCAATAGTGCAGCCCAGCAGTGTACTTATTACTCAATTAAAAAAGAATAATACAGTCACATGCTGAACACAGAAAAATGTCAGAAATGTACATTTTTCACTGAAAACGGCAAAGAGGCACAGAATTTCAGCACTTGACATCTAACCCTGCGTTCACACCGGCAGCAACGCGACGTGACAAAGCGGCAGGAGCTCATTCATTTTCAATGAGAGCTGGTAATTTCCGGGGACAGGAGGCAGCGTGACATTGGGGACACGAAGTGGGCGGAGTCGGCGATGCGACAAAGTTGAGCAGAATTTAACTTTAGGCGAATAGGGAGCAAAACAACGTGCCGATTACCAATAGGCATTCAGCAGCGTAGGATGCGCTTTGTCTCCGCCACTGTGAAACAGTGCGCCCCTTTTTTGGTTCCTAGATAATTGTTCCTACTACAGATGGAATAATGGCACCGCCGCAAACAGGCAAAGACCAAATGGCGTTTTCCTCACAAACTGACTGCACAGACTCGGATTAAATAGAAATAAACACATAAGCGATTTCTCACCGAGATTTTTAAATGTAAATCAATGCATCTGATTTGTGCTTGGTGTCATTGAAACCATGGCAACCAGAAGTCAGTTGGAGTTCAGAAACGTCCACAGGGGATGATGATCAGTAATTAAAGTGACAAAAAGAGGCAAAAAGTCGCTGCGAGTGTGAATGCAGGGTACTTGGCTCAATATTTATTTACTTAGAAAAACTGACATTGGTTGGGTTTGAATTCAGATTTTTCCCAATCCGATTAAATACATTCCAATTATAGATGAAGACTGAGGTGTTTATATTCTCACTCTACTCAACAATCTGATGGAAAATCTTCGTTTACATGCTGACTACAAGTAATCTGATCCAAAATGACGCGCATGCGTGTAGCACCACTTAGTGTAGACGTTACCATGACAACGAGCATCACTGAGTCCAATCAGAGTGTGATGAGCAGCAGTGAGCAGTGCTTGTGTTTTTAATTACTTTAAAACGATGTCAGACTCAGGAAAACGTCCTTCACATGTCCTTGTTAAAGAAGGCCGAGAGGAAGATGTCGTGTTCTGAGACACATAAGCTGGACGTCCGTCCCACCGCCGTCTTTTAAAGATCATAGCATAAACTTCGTCTCCTCTGCAGACCAGTTTCTGCTCCGCCATGTTGAACGGTATAAACTTTCACTATGACGTGACGAACATGATCAGAACATACTTAAACTTTCCGAAGGGGAAAGTAATCAGATACAGACGTTTACACTGATATTATTATTCCATTTCATTGATTATTTACAGGATTAACCACCTCGATCAATCAGATAGAAATTGTATTCCAAATGGCCTCAATCGGACTAGACTATTCTGATTGAGGTGTTTACATGGACGAATTCTATTCCGATTGAGCTGTTAGTCAGATTATTAACAAATTATTAGGCTGCATGTAAATGTGGCTACTGAGAGCCCTCAAAAAAACAAGAAAAAAGGTTCTTTATTGGACAGTCAACAAAAAATTATTCTTTTTTTAGTCCTGATTTTAGTGATTCTAGGCAAATTTCTGAAAATACGTCACGATTTAAGATATTTTAGAATTCCTCATTTTAGCTAGCATACAGCACAAAGGTGAAGGAATTTTAATGGGAAAAAACATTTTGAACTACTTCTGTGCTGCTGTTGCTGCTATATATTATTTATTTTTACATCATTCGTTCTTAAAACAAGTTTACAAAATGCTTACTGGATGTTGAGTAACTTTCTCTTTCTTAACTCAGTTAAAACAGAGGTTCTACTTCTTGGTCCAAAAGCAGCTCGAAACAAACTGTCTAATTTAACACTTAAACTTAACAATTTCTCAGTTGCATCAAGCTCATCTGTAAAAAGCCTTGGTGTCATTATAGACCCTGATCTGTCCTTCGACACACATATAACTAATATTACTAGAACAGCCTTCCTGCATCTCTGCAATATTGCTAAATTGAGAAATGCATTGTCTCTACAGGATGCAGAAAAGTTAGTTCATGCATTTATTACTTCAAGGCTAGATTACTGTAATGCCCTGCTGTCTGGATGTCCCAGCAAAAGTCTTAAGAAGCTCCAGTTAGTCCAGAACGCTGCAGCCAGAGTTCTTACTAGAACCAGAAAGTTTGACCATATCAGCCCAGTTTTATCAACCTTACACTGGTTACCAGTTAAATTTCGGATTGATTATAAAACTCTCTTACTGACTTATAAAGCTCTAAACGGACTCGCCCCGCTGTACCTGAGTGGATTTCTCTCTCACTATGAACCATCACGCCTACTTAGACCACAAGGTGCTGCTCACTATTAGTACCTAGAATTAATAAAGTTACGTCAGGGGGGAGAGCTTTCTCATACAAAGCCCCCCAGCTTAGGAATAGTCTTCGTGTTAATGTTCGGGACTCAGACACAGCCTCAGTCTTTAAGTCTAGGCTAAAAACTTACTTGTATAGTCGAGCCTTTGGTAATTAGTTTTCCCTGTCGGTTCTATACCTGCCAGAGTCTCTGCTAACACTGTAATCTGTAATCAGTCGCCCATTACAGAACTGACACCCATTACAGAACTGACTCTCAGTTCTGTCAGTCACTCATTACAGAACTGACTCTCTGTGTGTTTTCTTTTCTTTCTTTTCTTTGCCGAGTTGAACAGCTGCCCATCCTGTGCGTCTGATGCTGCTGCCTCTCTGCCTTGATCGGGTGCCACTGGCCCTCTGGACCAGCTAGACCACCATTGAGCTTCTTGCTGTACAATGCCATCCAAACCTCACCCTCACAACCTGACCCCACTGATGCTGCTGCTGCTGCCGCTGCTGTTGCATGAACTAAACTAATCAAAATTAATCATTTGAACTAATCAATCATTTACACTAATCTAATTAATCAATCACTCATTACAGAACTGACTCCTTCTTTCTTTTTGTTGCCGAGTTGAACAGCTGCCCATCCTGTGCGTCTGATGCTGCTGCCTCTTCTGCCTTGATCGGGTGCCACTGCTCTCCAGCCCTCTGGACCGGCTAGACCACCATCAAGCTTCATGCTGTACAACGCCGTGCAAACCTCACCCTCACAACCTGACCCCATTGATGCTGATGCTGCCGCCGCTGCTGCTGCATGAACTAAACTAATCAAATGAATCAATGCTCCACCTGTTTTCCCTGTTTTTGTACTAACAATGTTTACTATCCGGTGTCGACCAGAGGAGGATGGGTTCCCCTTCTGAGTCTTGGTTCCTCTCAAGGTTTCTTCCTGTTTCTCTTAGGGAGTTTTTCCTTGCCACTGTCGCCACTGGCGACGCTCATGGAGGCTTGGACCCGGATTTCTTTCTGTAATGCTGATTTTCCTTGTAAAGCTGCTTTGTGACAACACCTGTTGTAAAAAGCGCTCTATAAATAAACTTTACTTACTTACTTACTTGGACGACAAATCAGAAAAAAACTAAATAATGAATAAAAAACAAACAGTATGGTGGGTTGCTTGGGTGCTCTCCTCTTCTTGAACTGAACTGGGAGTGTTATTGCTCAGTTTAACAGCATACACGGATAATTTTTCATGCATTTAGCGGTGACGCACATTGTACACATGCGCATTTCCTCTTCCAAAGGAAGCATCCCTTCCTCTATCACAGCTGATAAAAGAGCATGCTTTCCACCGTCTGCTCTAGCTGCTGTGTCATACCTTTTCAGGATATGTTAAAGGAAGCTGTGGGATGTTTATCTGCAAGACCAACACCTTTATCAGTCTGGCGAAGATCCAAACACACATACTGAAGATCATTACACTCAATAAAACAGGAAAATCAACAATTCGATTCATACACTCTTTACTATGATGAAGTGCCAAAATAAATTCAGATAAAAACTTAGCAACAGCACTAAACTATTTTTCATGTTTCTGATAAGTAGGAGCAGTAAGACGTCTCCTGGCTCCTTCAGCGTTATTAAAAGTTCATTTTTAACAATAATCACTCACAGCATCAAAATACACTACCTTTTAAAATGGATTTCAGTCATATACACTAATTTTATTACAGTACCAATTAATCATATATGATGCCAATGCTGTACTACTAACTTCAAATAATTACCACGAAGTTAATTTTATAAAATACTTAGCAGCTGTTCAAGAAATAATATTGATATTTTCATAAAGAAGGACAGAGCTATAGACGATTCTAAAATAAAAGCTGTTAAACTTCAGGAATTTCCAATAAGAATAATATCCAGAACTCAATTATAACAAAATTAATATTTAAAATGAGGTTCTAAAAAATTCATATTTAAAATGAAATTCTATTGAAATGAATATCTCTATAAGTTCCAATAAAATTAATATTTAGATTGAGGTTCTAATAAAATTACTATCCAAAAAAGGAGGTTTTAATAAAATCAATATAAATATTTAACTAATAAAATTATTATCCAGAATGAGGTTCTAATAAAATGAAAACTTGAAAAGAATTTCAAATAAATGTAATAAATAAAAATGAAATTCTATTTAAATTAATGTCCATATAAGTTCCAGTGAAATTAATACTATAAAATTACTATCCAAAAAGAAGTTCTAATAAAATCAATATACATTATTAACTTCTAACAAAATTTTCATCTAGAATGAGGTTCTAAAAAAAATCATTTCCCAAAATAATCTCTAGTAAAATTATCCAGAAGGCCTTCTATGTAAAAAGTAGTCATATCTTGAGGTGGATAACTTGACACAATGTATGTATATATGATTTATTGTTTATTAAGCCGCATACTTCAAATAATAAATAAAACATTGAAAGAAATACCTTTTTGTGTCCAATTTACAATATTATAATACTGAACTTTTGAATGGTAGTGTATATGGCATATCTCTCTCTCTCTCTCTCTCTCTTTCTCAATCTCTCTCTCTCTCTTTCCCTCTCTTTCTCAATCTCTCTCTCTCTCTTTCTCTCTCTCTCTCTCTCTTTCTCAATCTCTCTCTTTCTTCCTCTCTTTCTCTCTCTCTTTCTCCCTCTCTTTCTCAATCTCTCTCTCTCTTTCTCAATCTCTCTCTCTCTCTCTCTTTCTCAATCTCTCTCTTTCTCCCTCTCTTTCTCTCTCTCTTTCTCCCTCTCTTTCTCAATCTCTCTCTTTCTCTCTCTCTCTCTCACTTTCTTTCTCAATCTCTCTCTCTCTTTCTCAATCTCTCTCTCTCTCTCACTTTCTTTCTCAATCTCTCTCTCTCTCTCTCTCTCTCTCTCTCTCTCTCTCACCTCTGTAGGTGCAGTTGTGGGCCCGGGCGTCTCCCATGTATCCAGGGGCACAGAGCTCACAGTGTGTGCCTGTGGTGTGGTTGGCACAGCGGAGGCAGTGCCCACTCTCCGGGTGGCATATTTGGGGCATAGAGCGGGGGTCCGCATTGCCATTGCAGTCACAGGGCACACACGCATCGCCTGATTTATAAAAACCATCCACACACACGTCACATGTGGGCCCCCTGAAACCAGCCTTGCACTCATCACACACGGGCCGACCGCTGGAATCTGTAAGAAGAAAAAAGAAAATAATGATAAATGATGCTTTGAATCAACAACACTGTAAATACACTCACACTATAGCTGTGTTTATCTCATAGAGTCTCATACAAAATCAGTGAAAAATATTAAGTAATTAATTTTTATGCCTGTTTTTAGACCTAAGTAAGAATGGACGGGCGTGGCTTAATATTATAATGAGCATGTGTGATTGACAGCCCTTTAGACCAACACTCCCAGCCTACTATGCCCCTGAAGCACAACTAAACAGAGTTGAGCAAGTGAAGAGAATTGAGTGAAATTGACTCTACATATACAGACAGACTAGCGCCGCTGTGTCCACTCACTACAAACATCATCCAGCTTATCCAGAACAAACAAATGAATAAACAGATGAACATTGAATAGCTCAACAGACAGATTTAAGGACAGATGAGCTAACAAACGAATGACCGAACGAACAGATGGAAGACAAGCAGAGAGATGAGCAGGCTTTACAGCTTATGCCTATTGGTTTACTTTCGCTTGGTGGTTAGCTTTCTCTCTGTACATTTCTCTGACTTGCACACAGTTTTGCTATAGCTATGTGGGCGGGACAACCCATATCAGCCTTGTGATTGGTAAAAGTACTGCTTACATACATGCTACTCAAGATTAGGATCGTCCAGTTCACATCGAAAGAGAAGAAAGTTGTCGGCCATTTAGTGGCCTGAACACTTCTCATTAAAACAGTGGAGAATTGTGTTGAACTGTCAGTTCATTCCACATGTGTGTTTGTAAGCAGAAGAGAAGATATTTTATGATAATTTGAATTTGATGAAATGTTATTGCCATGTATTATTGGTAAAAAAATCACATTCAGTCTAGTGAGAAACTTTAAGACAGTTTTTTTTATTTTATTTTATAGGTTCTGCAAGGCTTTTGGGCGGCACGGTGGCGCAGTGGGTAGCGCTGTCGCCTCACAGCAAGAAGGGCCTCGATTCCCAGCAGGGTGACCAGGGTCCTTTCTGTGTGGAGTTTGCCTGTTCTCCCCGTGTCTGCGTGGGTTTCCTCCAGGTACTCCGGTTTCCTCCCACAGTCCAAAGACATGCAGTCAGGCTGATTGGACATGCTAAATTGCCCCTAGGTGTGAATGTGTGTGTGACTGTGTATGTCTGTCTGTCTGCCCTGCGATGGACTGGCGACCTGTCCAGGGTGTATCCTACCTTCCACCCAATGACAGCTGGGATAGGCTCCAGCACCCCACCGCGACCCAGAAGGATAAGCAGTTTAGATGATGTATGTATGTATGTATGTATGTATGTAATTCACTACATAACTAGCTTTGTAATTCGTTACTTTGTTATATTAATTTAATCACAAGTAATGCGAATAGAAATGCATCATGAAATCTAGAATGTATTACATTCTGATATATTAGTAATTCTGTTATGAATGTAACATCAATAATAACTCTAAAGCTCTAAAGGCTAATTCCATTTTCACACTGATAAATGTACCTTTCCTGCAAAGCTGACTTCAGAGAAATTTCACTTTCCGCCACTTGATGGCGCAGTAACGCTAGTTTTTCATCGCTCTGTCCCCACAGAGTGACTGCTAGAGGTCTGGACTGTCAGAAGCGGATTGATGGTAATGAATACTGCTGTTCAAACCTTCTTCAGGAAGCACACAAACATGCAAACTGCAAACAGCTAAGAAGCAGAAGGATGTTGATGAATGAGTTCTGGATGTATGAGCCAAGACTGAACCAGAACTGTGCCTTGAACCTGCAAACTGGACTGTAAACAGTGGCATCACCTGTAAACAATAGTCAAGTCCTTACATTCAGGACTCTAAAAGGTCATAGGTTAATGTATTCAGCGACTGTGATCATACTGCTAGATACTGTGATTGCAATGTACTTTGATATTAATATATTGAAACATATTGGAAGCATATTGACGGAAACTTGATGTAATATGTTTATGTTTGTGACTGTCCGCATTATTTTGACCAACGTAATTTACTTTTGTGTGATTATGTGAATCAAAACACAGAATCAGGACCTGTGATCGGTCAGGATGCAGACTGTACAGTAAAACATATTTGAGGCTCATTTGCATATTGCAATCTAGTAAAGTAATGAATTTATGAGTACAGCCTACAGACTTAATCTCACCAAATCCCGCCCCACTTGAACTCACCCAGCCTTCATACTGTTAACAAATAACCACGCCCACTCACCCAGCCTTCATACTGTTAACAAATAACCACGCCCATTCACTCAGCCTTCATACTGTCACTGAATAACCACGCCCACTCACCCAGCCTTCATACTGTTAACAAATAACCACGCCCATTCACTCAGCCTTCATACTGTCACTGAATAACCACACCCACTCACCCAGCCTTCATACTTTCACCAAATAACCACGCCCACTCACCCAGCCTTCATACTTTCACCAAATAACCACGCCCACTCACCCAGCCTTCATACTTTCACCAAATAACCACGCCCACTCACCCAGCCTTCATACTGTCACCAAATAACCACACCCACTCACCCAGCCTTCATACTTTCACCAAATAACCACGCCCACTCACCCAGCCTTCATACTTTCACCAAATAACCACGCCCATTCACCCAGCCTTCATACTTTCACCAAATAACCACGCCCACTCACCCAGCCTTCATACTGTCACCGAATAACCACACCCACTCACCCAGCCTTCATACTTTCACCAAATAACCACGCCCACTCACCCAGCCTTCATACTTTCACCAAATAACCACGCCCACTCACCCAGCCTTCATACTTTCACCAAATAACCACACCCACTCACCCAGCTTTCATACTGTCACTGAATAACCACACCCACTCACCCAGCCTTCATACTGTCACTGAACAACCACGCCCACTCACCCAGCCTTCATACTGTCACTGAATAACCACGCCCACTCACCCAGCCTTCATACTTTCACCAAATAACCACGCCCACTCACCCAGCCTTCATACTTCCACCAAATAACCACACCCACTCACCCAGCCTTCATACTGTCACCAAATAACCACGCCCACTCACCCAGCCTTCATACTTTCACCAAATAACCACACCCACTCACCCAGCCTTCATACTGTCACTAAATAACCACGCCCACTCACCCAGCCTTCATACTTTCACCAAATAACCACGCCCACTCACCCATCTTTGATGTGGACGAACTCCAGTGGCCTGCACAGAGCCCTGACCTTAACTCCACTGACTACTCACAAATGCTCTTTTGACTAAATGGGCTCAAATTACAAACACACTCCAAAATGTGAAAAGCCTTCCCAGATTAGTGGAGGCTGTTTTGGGGGGGGACTCTCTATTAATGCCAATGTTTTTGGAATAGGATGTCCAGCAAGTTTATATGGCTGCAATGTATAGTGCATATAGTCTCTTTATTGCCACACACATTACTCCGCCCCTCTGCTGAGACAGCCAATGGAAACAGGGTTCATTAACATACAAAATCAACACCTAAAAGACGACATTTTCTTCACAGATGAAAACAGTAAAATGCCTTATAGAAAGGCTGAAGGTGTTACTTGCCTTCCACGTGCTCCCTTTTCTTACCAGCAAAACGTAAAACGCATTTATCTCTCTCTTGTATATGCATGTTAGGGAGGATAGAGACGGATCTCTGATAGCAGCACTGGCCAGAGGCGGGGCTTTGGGCAGTTTTGCGTGATCAGCCACAACCTTAGTAAACAGAGAGCTAATTTCAGACACATTGCGAGTGCATAAGGTAAATATTGCACCAAGACACACTTTGCACTGCACCCTCATGTTCGTATATCTGTAACTCAGTGATTTTCTCCATGTAACGAAATGCGATTTGGCCCAAAGACTTCTGAGACAGACACGGTCTGCAGTTCACACACACACACACGTCTCTGCAGAGGTCAGAGCTGAAATATTTATGAAGTTAGAGAACAGTGTGAGCATAAGAGGTTGAGTGACTGCTGAGCCTTTAACTAACAAACATCCACACCCACATTCAGACCTAACCCAAATCTCTTATTCATCCCTTATATATCTGATAATATGTCCCATCTATTGTATATGTAAGTGTCTATATGTAATAATAATGTCCCATATGTATATATATATATATATATATATATATATATATATATATATATATGTGTGTGTGTGTGTGTGTGTGTAGTAATGTGTCCCATTTGCATTTTAAACATTGTGTGTGTATATGTATATATATAATTGCATGAAGTCCAATATGTATTTAAATATGTATGTATATGCATCTATCTACATGTAACAATAACATGTCCCATGTGTATATATATATATATATATATATATATATATATATATATATATATATATATTCATGTGTGTGTCCCGTGTATCTATATGTAATAGTATGATACATATTCAGTATGTTATATTTTGCTCTATCAGTTTTTAAAAATTAAACATTAAACTTTGTTACAATCACTTTAGAAGTCAGTAGCATTTTGTTAGTTCTGTTTTCCTCTAGTTTCACACATGCACAAATACAAACACACACACACACACACACACACACAGAGTAAGCCTATCTGCAGTCTTCTCCTCATGACACTGCGCCGCACCTCCTCAGTTTTCTCAATGGCCTCCGTTGCCATGGAAACCTCCACACTGACAGACGGACGCTTGCTTGGCAGCGTTTCTGTCTGCAGTCTGTTCGCTCCACCCCTTCACCTTCATCATCCTTGTCCTGCTCATCATCCTCATCATTACAATGCTCATTCTTTTTTTATTAACAGTGTTTGAGGTAACAACAAATCCATCCACTGAGTCTCCATCAGCTCACATCAGCCCATGCTTCTCTAATGCAGACGAAACAACATGTTTGGTGCCTGAAGTTTCTTCCAAGTGATGAAAGCTTATATTCCACCAATTAGCAAGGTGCTAACGGCATGCCTTAATTATAACACACTGGTCTCGACCTGTGTGGAGTTGTTAAGTAATCTCTAGTA